GGCATCTGCAACCAGGCAGTGAACAGGGTCATGGGCTTCGGCACCCGCTACCTGGAAGATTCGTTTGCACCCTTGTCCTACAGCAAAATTCTCCAGGTAGGGAGGAGGGCTGAGCCTGGGGCTGAGCTTCCAGCAGCAAGTTAGGGCAATTGGTATAATTTTAAGGTGACCAACAGGCCTGGGTGGGTAACAGTCATGCTGGCTTATACTGAGGGGGTGACCAGGTGCTGGATCTTGCCCTGTGCTGTTTGACCTGCCTTTGCCTTCCTCCAACATGAGCTTCTTGCACACACAAGGAGCAGAACTTGCTTTGCTCCCTGCCTGCTGCATCTCGTCAGCCGGGCCGTGCCCTGCAGAGCACAGCACTGCTGCAACCTGGTGTAACTGCAACTTTCTTGGGTAGAATTTCCTCCTAAATCCACCTAGAAGACTGGTAGCACCAGCTCAGTTTGGGAAGGGACCTCACAAATGTTTCCTTCCATCTCAGCAGGACAGAGGAAAGTTCAGCACAGACAACTGTGAGAGCCCAGACTGACATCGGCTGCTCCGAAGGACCTGTGGTGCCCAGGAACCCGAGGATGAAGAGTTACTGATGGGGGAGGAAAGTCCTTGATGGTGACCTGGATGTGGGGTGATTTTCTGATCTGTGGGTTTAAAATCGGCTAAGGAAAATCCCAGTGATAGCCACAGCAGCATGAAATGCTTAAAACCCAACTGGCTGGGGGCAAAGAGTCTGTAAATCAAACAATGCCCAAATTTGACCCTGTATTTGCATTTTAGTTCTCACCAAGTGCATGAGTTGAACCTCAAGGTTCCTTTGTGTTCGTGTATGTCTATTTATTTTCCTGCTTTTCTATATGTATCTGTGAATGTGCAACATAATTTTTGTAGCTTCTGCTGCCAGCCAAGCGCCTAGTTCATGAAAAAAACCCTAAAACTCAAATAAATTGATCCCTAAATGACAGCCAGGCTTGTCTAATGGGTGATGTGTATGGCCGTTATACATGGAATGTTTGCTTTGCTACAGCTGTTGTGGGCTGCTCCTTTCAAGCTAAATGCAAAGTGCCACATAGGGAGTCTTACAGCAGATACATGGTGCAGTCCTGACATTTTTTACTATTTATAGCCATTCCATTTCCAGCAGAAGGAGATTTATTAGCCAAAGCAGCTTGATCCGACACCAAGAACCAGGCAAAGCTTGTTCCCGAGTGGCACAGGAGCTGCCCTTGCTGTCGCTCCCTCCAGAGCCAAGGGGATTTACAGCTGCTGGGGTCTTACCTACAAGGTCTGAGAAGATGTGAAATGTAAAAGCGATTAAACCCTAAGTGCTGGGAATGTTCCCAGCTAATCTTTGCCCAGACCACTAAGCAGGGCCGTGGATTAAGGCAGCCTGGGGCTGGGGGGACCGCTGGCACTCAGTGTGGTGGCACCAGCAGCAGCATCTCGTTGGCAGGGTCGGATCCAGCCTGGGGTGAAGGGAACAAAATTTTGGGGTTTGCAGTGTGCAAGAGGTGGGAGGATCTAGTGGGCTGAAGGTGACGATGGTGGCAAACCAACCTGTGGGTCTGGGTCTGTGTCATGCATGGGGTGACAGTCCCCCACGGGCCACCAGTGACAGCCTGTGTCTGCCCAACACGGCCTCTCCTGGAGGATCTGATCGTTTCAGTCCTTTTAAAACCCTAAGTAAAACAAAATGAGGAAGCAGAGCCCTTGTAGGAAGGAAGCAGCCCTTGTCCATGCAGATCAACATCCACCTGTTTGCAAAGCCTTTAAGGAAACGTTTGATAGAGCCTCAGAGGGTTGACTCACCAGCTGCCAAAAAGCCCTAAGGAGGGAGGTTACCTTGCAGAGGATCCGTCTAATTTAGCCCAGGGTAATTAGGTCTCTGAAAAACATCAATTCCAACCCCTGTGTCCTGCCCGGCAACGCCAGCGACAATCACAGCGCCAGCACCGTGTTTCCTTTTGGCCGGGAACCAAGCTGGGAGACTTTTACTGCAGGAGAAACCAAAACTGCTCTCGCCTGTTTGCAAACTGTGACGACATTCCTGTCCCCTGCCCGGAGCCCAGGGGACTGTGCTGGGGCTGTGACTGGGGCAGGGCAAGCTGGTGTTGGGGACGTGTTGGTGACCCAGTGGGAGGATCATGTGGTGCCCTTTTGTTTTGCATCTGAGCTCATGGGGTGCCAGGTGTGGGCTGGGATTTGCATGGAGCAGAAAAGGGGTTTAGTCTCCTTGCTGACTTCCCAGAGGACATCATCCTCCCTCGGCACGTGGGATGCTCCTGCCAGGCAGAACACGGGTGAGAAAAGCAACTCATCCCTCCCATTCCCTTCTCCTTTGCTTTCCTTGATATCACAGCTGAATGAAATACCCTCCTTCTGTTGTTGCTGGACCTTTCCGCATCCATTGAGGCAGAGGTGCTGGGGAAACAAGGAGAAAAACCTGCACAGCCTTTTGCTCCTGGTCCCAAACAACCCGGCCCAAAGCAGGGACGCTGCTCCCACCCGGCGCGGTGGGATGAGGGTGGGAGCAGCCACGGCTGCCGGCAGTGCAGCACCCCAGGGCTGGCGGCTCTCGGAGCCCAGGTCCCTCCTTGTGAGTGACTCCAACATCTTGGTCTAATCTCTTGGTTATAAAATTGAGACCCTGATTGCCTGTAGCCACTGAAGACCTTAAGAAGGTATTAAAGAAAGGGAAGTTATTAGGCCCAAGGTTTTGAACAGTTTCCAACTCTCGGTATTACCTTCATCCTTCCCTCAGTGCCTCGCTGTGGCTTCAAACAGCTAAAGCAATCGCCTTGCCTGAAAATCCCTGGGATCGTGGGCACTGGCCATCTGGGCACCGATCCTGCCCGGGTAAAGAGCAGCCCTGCTCCCTGCACAGCCCCCTGCCCGCCCGGTGCTCGGTGTGAGCTGAGGGGCCTTCTCCTGAAAACATCTCGGGCTGCTTCTGGGATTATGCGTCTCCGAAGTTGTTAGTCCCAGATAATCCTGTTTTGCCAAGTGCCAGGTGGGGGAGGGCATTTTAGAAAATCAGCCCGGCACTTAATGAGCCAATTAATGCAGAATTCACCGTCATTAGAGGATGATGACAAAGTTTCGTCTCACAGGAGTGTGGCACTGGGCCAGGGAGGACGCTGTATCCCGGGGTGCTGCCCGGGGGCCTCGGTGTTTGCAGTGGGTGAGGGTGCAGGGCAGATTTTGCATCATCACCTCCTGCCTTGAGAATCCCCCTGTAATTCATTGCAGGGCAGGGAGATTTGTGGGAAATGCTGTGATGGGGCTGTGCACCCCCTTGGCTGGCAGACCCCCCAAGGCGTGTCCCCAAAACTCAGCCGCTCCTGAGCCCGGGGTACCTGAGCATGCCATGAAGTCCTCGCAAGTCCAGCTCCTACGAGGAAACCGTCCTCGTGCCGTGCACTGGACGGAGGAGCGTGTTCCCGCAGGTCCCCTGGATTGTTTACAGATTTCCCAAAGCTTGGCAACCGGGGCTGGGCTCAAACTGGGAGGTGCGAGTGCTGAGTGAAGCAGAAACATCCTACGCCTCTGCCATGCAGTGCCTGTTGAATTCCTCGGGGGCCTGATGCACGTAATTGGCAGAGTTAAGGCACACAGAAACAATTTCTTCCAGCATTCAAACACTCATGTACCTGTGATGCACTTGCATGTTTGGATCAGTCACAGTGAGAGACGATACTTTTTACCCTTGTTCTACCTGCAGCTGTTTGCCAGTGCTGGAAGAAAATTCTTTCAACAAAGGAATTTGCTTTCCCAAGGGCCGGAGGAAACAGCGGCGTGAATCACGCGGATCCAAGCTCAGACACCACCAGAAGGTTGGTAGAAAGGCTGGAACGTGTGGGAGACTCGCTCAGCGAGGGGATAATGTAAAACCAACATCAAACACTGGAAAGGCAAGAAATGAGAAGACCAAATCCAGTAAGGCTCTATATCTACAGCAGGAGGTGCTCGTCTGCAAAGGCCCTAATTCAAGCAGTTGTTCACCTCCGGGTTAGTCCAGATCCCGTTCCAACATATCTTGGAGCTGACGAGTTGCTCCTGCTTGTCCTGCCACCCAGGCGGCAGCCGCTGGGGACAGCCTCGGCCATGGCGAGTGACATTTCTCCGGGGGGTTTGTGGGCGTTGATCGCCTGCTGATGGGCAGTGACCAGTGAAACTTCATCCCGGGGACATTCTGCACATCGAGGTGGGGGGGGTCCCTGCCCCCAGGTGTCGCACAGGACACAACTCTTGTCGTGGGGAGCCCAGCGATGGCTGGAGAGGCCAAGGAAAAACGCGTGAAAATTTGGGGTGAAACAGCATGGAAAAGGTTGCATCAGGATGCTGGGACCATCCTCTATTTTCTTGTACTGTCCCAGCCAGGCTGGTGCATAACATGGGGGATGGAATCTCCCTCCTTCAGCCTGTCTGCTCTGTACACACCCCCATGTTATGTATGTATATATGACCTTGAATGTAACATATGTAATATTCATTGTATAGTGTGTAGGCTACATGTATTTGGGCTACATAAGCAACACAGTATACAGTAATATTTAATAAACACATCTGTTAAAAATGGCATTTTTTATTCTGCAAGTTGGCAGCAGCATTAGGTTACTAAGGCTGAATATACACTAGAAATCTACCAAATTTCTCCCTGTTTTTTTAACTATCACCCAGCCGATGATGATGGCCCAAAGGCAGTTTGATTTTTGTTCTGTGCCCCAAGATTTGAGGCACACGGCACTGCTGCAGGCACCTTTCTGGGGCCTTATAGATCACAGTGCTAGAGGCAGGGAAGAGAAAAGCAAATCCAGCTCCCTGGTTTTGCCCCACAAAGGACATCCAAGAGTCAGGCAAGGACAAAACTCTTCCAATAGGGAGCAAATACAAGCGATATTTCCAAACATAACCTAACGTAACTCCCTGCATCCACCTCTTGTGTAACACTCTCTGGCTTTAAATGTCTTACACAAGCCTTTACTCACTCAGCGCTGAGCTATGCCTAAGCTGGGATTGACGGAGAATCCTACTTAGGAAAACACCTTTGATGAAGAAAGCACGGAGCAAAGAAGAGATTTTTCATGGATGTTTCCAAGTGTGTTGGTCACAGTAATGTGGGGACCATCTCCAGGAGGGCTCCTGGGGTACTTCAGATCGATTGGTACAAAAGGGGAGCCTTGACTCAGTCCTGAGCATCTGGGTTGGCTGTGGTCGAGGATTACGAGAGCTGTTTTGATCAGGGGAAAAATTTCTGTTTTTAGCACAGGCAGCAATTAAAATAGCTCATGAATCTAAACGCCTCGGGGAGCTGTCATAAAAGGAGGTAGAAAATCCATCTTCTGGACTCATCTGCAGCCAGAGATCAGCCTGGAGAAAGCAGAGGGAAGAGCACTTGAGGTTCACCCGGTGAAAAAGGACAACCCGAGACATCGAGCCAGATACACCAATTTGATCTTGAGATGGCTGAGGAGGATCTTCGGGATTCAAGCGCCCGTTTCTCGCTCTCCTTTTCGGGCAGTGGCTTTCTCATCCTGTACCAGATTGGGGTGGTGCAGTCCCTCATGGAGCTGGCTCCCAAACTCCTCAAGTCCGCGTGCAAGGTCTACGGGTCGTCTGCCGGCTCGATCATCGCCGCCGCCGTGGTGTGCGGCATCGGCCTCGGTAAGACAATTATTGCCTAGATTTCCTTGCTGTAGTTTTTCAATTTCAAAATAGAAGTAGAGGAGGTAATGACTTCAAGCACCGGTGGGGATGTGTTACCGGTCTAACTTACATCACTCACAGGGCATAAAAGAAATCTGCAGATGTTGACACTTTTGGCAGCCACCCTGAAGCACTTTTGGGTGGTCTAAGCTGAAAAAGCCTGTTATTGCTGTCTGAATATTATCTCAGATGGTCATGTAGATACTGCACAGGTAAATCTTGATGTACCTGTATTTTATTGGGTCATTTGCCTGCTCCTGCTGAAGGAGTACATCTCGTTCCCTTCTGCTATGTGCTCTAAGGAGTGCCGAGATGTGTCCCAAAGCAAGTCTACGCGGCCGCGGTGGGCGGATGCACCCGTGTAAAGCCCCCGCTCCCCCCTGGATCAGGTCCCTTGGCATCTTTAGCTACAAAGGGACACGAGTGGCAGTCACACCGATATCTATAGAGCTGACAGCCCTGTCTGCATGTTGCTTTGGGTTATCCCACTCAACCTTCCCCGCACAAGGGAAGATGTGGCACGATTCCCGTTTCCAGACAGCCCCGGCAAAAGCTCCAGGGCGCATCAGCAGGACGTACCCGGGGGAACAGCCGTCCCTGCTCCAGCCCAGGGCTCAGGTTTCTCCTGTTGCTGCAAAAGAGGTTTTACTCTGAAACATTTTAGGCAATGTGGAAACAGGCACCCCTAGCAATAAAATCCTCTACGTGTAGGATTAATTCAAAGCAGCTAATCCACTTTTAATAATTACATCCTCCAATATTTCCAATTAGTGTCCATGTCTAAACAAGCATACAAGATTTAAGTCTTTGAAGGCTGATCCAAGCCCGGCTTCAAGCAAGGGGGACATTTAGGAGGAGCAAGGGGTTTAGGGTCCAAATAATGATGGAAGAAGCAGGAAGGAAACACACAGTCCCTGAAATATCTGGTGGATGCTAGAACCACTCTGCTGGAGCTAAAAATAATTCAAACCTTTGGCAAATACATTTAGACAAAGCAGAAAGGCACCTTTCTGCCTCTTTGGGAATGAACTCCTCTACAAATCAGGAAGGGCCCCGAAACCTTCCTCTCCGATTCCTCATGCTGGTGTAATTGGATGCAGCCGGGGCTGTCCAGCAGGTATAAATCAGTTTGGTAACTGCTCTTGCTGTGGGCATCAGTGCTGAAATGGGGGTGTGCTTCACTGGGGGTGGTAGGCACCTTCCACTCAGAGGTGCTGAGATGAGCTGGTGCCCAAATCATCTTCCCCAGGGGAAGAAAAGCCCTCCTGGGTAGTGATAACTCTGGTTAGGTTTCTAATGAGGAAAATGAACGTGGCACAAACTCTGTCAAATTCACATCGGGGAGGATTGGGGCAAAAAGAGGGTTAAAGTTGTGCTTGGCTCCTGATGGGGTGTCCCATGGGGTGGCTGCGGTCCCTGGGCTGGGTGAGGAGCTCTGTGCTCTCGGAGCCAGGCTGTCCCCTGCCACCCTGCAGGTCACCTCCCGGGCACGTGCTTGTCCCCAGCCAAGCTGGCGCGGGCGGGGACGGTCACGGCATTGCATGCCAGAGCCACCCCTCGCTCGTCCCGAGCCAAAGCCCTGTCCAGAGCCAAAGCTCTCAAAGCTAGGGTCAGCTCTCACCTCCCACCCAGCAGCTTGCGGGCAGTTTTTCCAGGTTTTCCCTCGTTTCCAGGACACAGAGCAGCCAGACAGTGCCCTGCAGGGGCATCACCTGCCTGGGGTGTCCCTGGCTCTTTCAGCATTCCCGGGGACCCTGCGTGAGCCCGCGGAGCATTAATCATCATGCTGCATGGCCCTGAACTTTCGCTCGAATACTTATAACCCCTCTTAATACCCTTGTTGCTCCGATTGTCTTCAGAACATTCCACCTAATCCATCTGTCTGTACTTTTAAAGCAATCTCACGAGACAGACTTGAAATCTTTGCCCCTACAAAGCCACGGTGCTAAAGCAAGCCCGTGGCTTCGTGCGGGTGCAGGGAGCCCACCCGGGTGCAAGGATGGCTCTTTGCAGCACTGGGGAGCCAGATAAGCTTTTTGCTGCAAGAGGTTAACCGCCCAAGGTGGGGTATTCCCCCACGTGAGCTCCCCATTTCAGCAAATGTACCAAGCTCTCTCCTCAGGGTCAGGCTGACCGTGGGGTTTGCTGTACTCCTCCTCCCCTCCATCACTGCACAGCCTCTCAAACCCGGTGTCTCCTGAACCCTCGGCGGGTGTTTTGCAGCTCTGCTCCTTTAATCCAGCTTCTGGGAGGTGCAGATGCATGTAATGACTCTTAATGCCAGCTGGGAGGTTACTAGGGGAGCTGGGATGAGCAGGGAGTCCCAGCACAGTGGAGCCAGGGTTCCTGGCTTGCGGGAAAGCCCAAAGCAGAGGAGGTGGGGGTCTGCCCCTCATCCTCACCTTCGAGCTGGCCCAGCTCCCCTGTGAAGCCTGGGGCTGCCCATGTGCAAAATCAGAGGTGCAAGGCAGGAATGTGTTGTGCAATTCACAGTGACACCGATAACTCGGTGTCTGCACCCGCGTCCCCCTTCCCAGGGCTCCTTGGAGCTGCCCCCTAATCCCTGGCCAGGCACATCTTCAGCACCCGTTGCTGGTACAGACGGGGATTTCCCCAGCGGGGTGATGCTCAGCCGTATGTTGTCCTTTGAGGACATTGTGGGGGTGATCTCCCCTTTTCTGCCCCACCACCATGTCCTCCACTATAGCAGCAGTATCATCCCGGGGTTGTACACATGCCAGGGAGCATTAAAAATAGGATTAAAAATATAAGTGTTAGGGCAGCAGCGATACTGACTTTCTCTCTGTCTTTCCCACCCCCCTCTCTGTGTCAGATGACATAAAGGAATTTTTCTTTACCATGACAAAAGAAATCAGAAAAACCACCCTGGGCCCTTTCTCTCCCAAGTGCAGCGTGATGGCGAGTATCAGGGATGTTTTGCAGCAGGTGCTACCAGAGGACTCCTACCGACTGGCTTCAGGGAGGCTGCACATCTCCCTCACGCGGGTGGTGGATGGCCAAAACGTCATAGCCTCTGAGTTCAGCTCGAAAGAGGAGCTCATTCAGGTAAAGGAACCTTCCTCTGATGCTGAAGGGAGATCTCTACCTACTGCTTGGGGTGGAGGCACCTACGTGTCGATGACTTTAACTGCACTGAGTGTCAGGAAGCTCCACCAGAGCCATGGTCCCACCACAATGAGTTCTGTGAGGCTTGGAGGGAGGGAAGGAGGAAGATGTTGTTATGTCCAGAGTCAGGCAGGAATAAATCATGCTAAAAAAGCAGAAGGTTTGTTACCGGCCTCAAAAAGCTGATGCTGACATGTTGTCCAGCTCTAATAAGTGCTAATGACTCTTTGCAAAGAGCCATGTTAACGCTAACACGACCTCTCGGCTTTCTGGACAGGTCTCTTCTCGGCCAAGTCCCATTGGCAGTAATTTTTCTTGTTGCTTCAGCATTTTCCTGGGAGGAAAGAGCTGGACAAGGCAGCTGTGTCGCCAAAGAACAAGCAGCTCGTTAACCAGTAAATTAGCTGCTGGGGAGAGAATCCCAGGGTAAAACCCTAATGGAGATGACCGTAAGGTTGTGGGCTTGCTTGTCTCAGGGAGACAGCAGAGGATGGCAAGTCCCTGGAGATGATGGAGTGCACCCCGTGGTGCCTGCCCTAGGCTAACCCAGGAGCACAGGGTGCTCGTTCCCAGCTGATGAAATTGGTGGAAAATGGTTGCAAATGGCCCAGCAGTGGCTTTATCATTGACAAAACCCAGCAGAATGAAAAATGCATTGTGAGGATGTCTTGGTTTTGTCCAAAAGCCCGCAAATATGAAAAATGACCCCAAAGCTTCACCTTGCCACCGCCAAAGGGCAGTGTTCAGACAGTGATATACAGATATACAACTCCAATATTACTGGCAGATATAAAAATAAAACCTGAAGTGCTATGCCCTTTTCAGGAGAAGTGTTTCAACTTTATTGAAATGAGACGTTTTCTCCTTCTTGAAACCTTTCTTCTTGACACAGTCAAGTGCAAAGTCCAGGTGGTACTGGCAGCCGGGCTCCAGATGATTTGTCAAGCCTGAATTTGCAGGCACTCAGTCAACAGCTTTTGTCCAGAACTTTGACAGGAACACTTCTGCAATCCCTCTCCTCCCCCAGGCTCTCCTCTGCAGCTGCTTTCTTCCCATCTACTGTGGATTCATCCCTCCATCCTACCGAGGTGTGGTGAGTGACATTTCCAATCAAACCTATGCTCCCAGCAGCATGTTCTTGGGTTTGACCTTTACATTCCCTTGAGCAGAGGGATATATATGTCTAGGCTTCTTCTTTAGTTAATGGAGGTTGATAAAGCCTTTTAGCTTGTTCTTCGTCCCATCCTAAGATGGTAGCTGGGTGGAATTGCCATCTGGAGAGCCTTCTCCTGCCTCGCCTACAGACAAAGCCTGGATGACTAGATCCTGCCTTGCAGATCACCAACGTGGGATGAGAGGACACCCACACGTGGGACTTTGACACAGAACCCACTTACCCTGGACAAGATCTGCCTGCAGTGCAGATGACTCCACGAGCTTCAGGTGCAGACCCGCACGGCTGAAACATGAAAAGTCCGTGGTGGGATCCTCCCCCAGCCGTGTGCATACTCATATTCTGTGAAACACCGCGGTGAAGTCCTCAAATCTGGGCTGGCTCGCTGCTCACCCTCAGTGAAGGAGCGCAGCAGCGTGGTGGGGAAGCAGGCGCAGGTGGAGCGTGGAGCAGCCGGCGCCCCGTGACAGAGCCCACAGAGCCACCACAGCAGATTCGCAGCCGGTGCAGGGCCAGGATCTTTCCTCGACTCTTGCTGGTCTGCACCGACTGAGCCTGTTTAGACCTCGGGTGTCTGTTCCTGGCTGTCAGGTCAGATCTCCCGCTTGGCCCGGACTGCAGGGCTTGCCCACAAAGTGCGTAAAGTTTACACGACCCAGAACTCAGCAGCGTCGCTGTGTGAGGCTCCTCTGCACTGGTATTTCATGAGCATTTAATCTGATCAGCTGCAGTTCTTGCAACCTCAAATCCCACTGAGGTGGGTGGTAAATTCAGATTCCTTTTGGAATATAGCAAATAACATTTTCCTTGCCCAGTGAGTAATCCTCCAGGGATTTGCAGGCAATTATTAAATGTGAGAGCCCTACTGCTTGAGCTCAGGACTCAGAATTTATACAAGGCTGTAAATTCAGTGATGTTTGAATTGGCTAATGACTGCTTTACACAACTTCGTAAAGCCTTGTGAATTAAAATAATTATATTTCTGGTTTAATAACTGCTGTGGATTACAGCACCTGGTTGAGGAGCTGGCTGGGTGCCATGGGCAGGGCAGCAGAAGGAGCTGGCAAAGAGCAGGATAAAGAGCAAGGGGTGGGAAGAGATGCTGTTGCAAGTGGGAAGAGAGGACGTGCTGGGACTGGTTCACGGCAGGAGATGGTGCCTTTGCAGCCGCTCACTTTCCGCCCAGTGACGCTGCAGCAGCCCTCGGAGCAAACCCTCCCTCTGCTCTTCCCCCTCAGCGATACGTCGACGGAGGATTCACCGGCCTGCAGCCTGTTTCCAGCTTGGAGGAAGCCGTGATCACTGTGTCCCCGTTCACGGGAGAGCTCGATATCTGTCCGCGGGATTGCCCTGCTATCTTCTACTGTTTCCAGATCTTCAACGGCAGCATTCAGATCTCCTTAGAAAACCTGTGCAGGATTAGCTATGCTCTCTTTCCGCCTAGCACCACGGTAAGCCCACCAGGTCTTCTTCCCAGCTTCATTTTGGTTAAAACAAATTAATGTTGGACCTGCCTTTCCAAGCTTTAAGGTTCAGCTCAATCTCCATCGTTAAGTAATCAGATTTCAAGGGGAGGGGGCAGTACCCACTGCTTTTGTAGTGCCCTTTTTGGTGGGCACCGCTGACGGGCGGCCAATCTGGGATGGGGCCCACCCTGGTTTGAGAACCTGCGAAGGACCAGGTGGTTGGAAACCAACCTGTGCTTGCTGCCTTCCAAATGGGCCACCCCAACCCTCCACCATCAAACAGCCTTGGACAGAGCCTGCCAGTGCCTGGATGGAGGGCTCTTTAGTGACCTCAAGTGTTTCTCCTTGCAGGTCTTGAATGACATTTTCTCCCAAGGGTACCAGGACACTGCCCTTTTCCTGTACAGGAACAGTAAGTGTTACCCCAAGACCTAAAGGACAGCCCAGAAGCGTGACGCGCACACAAACATCAGCCCTTTCTTTCTGTGTCTCACAGATGCCGTTGGCTTTAACAACTACGATGGCAATTTCCGCTTCGCCAGCATGTGTGGGAAAAACGACTTTGCACAATCTACCAGGACAAGCACTGGCCTATGCAAAAGGGAACCGCAGCACCCAACTCCTTACTTCCTGCCAGGTAGAGGGTTTGGGGTCCTGATCCTGGGTTTTGGGGGGGGACACTGAAGTCTTTGAGAGAAGCACCATTATATTTATTACAGAGTTATTTATTATAGTAAATATTTCTAGATCTGCAGTAGCCACTTGCAACGAGGCTTTGTAAGAGCAACTTCAGCTGGATTCTGGGCTGGGCTTCAGTACCTACAGGCTGAGCTGTGGCAAGAGTTGCTGGACAAGAGGAGTTGTTGCATTTATTGGGTTATTTCTAATTACTGGCCTTTATTTACTTCTGTGTTGTCATTCATGGGCACAGGATTGGCTCTGTGGAGGAAGGAGTGGGTGACTGGACTGCAGGATCCACTGTCAAAGGTCCTGTTGCAGCCATACAAGCTGCCAGCTGTGGCCAGGAAGGGGTAAGAACATCTCGATAGAGGCACTGAAGCTGAGAGCGGCACAGAAACCGGTGGCTGCGCCTTCAGCAGCAGCGAGGCACAGCATGAGATTAGCACAAGGCACGCAGGTGTCCCTGCAAGCTCAGCGTCGGGTTGTGCAATGGGCTGTAGCATCCTTCAGACAGCAGCTCCACGGGAAACGCGCGGGGAGCCTCTGGGGCAGTGTGGGCTGGTGGCGAGTCCCTCCTTTTCTACGGACCAGGGCAAGCTGATGCACATCTACTGCATAAATAGGTTTAGTGACATCCCCTTCCTCCACAGGAGGAGCTGGTGTTCCCTGAAGGCGAGCTCTCGGGGAGGGTGGGCATGGCTAGCAGGAACACCATAGGATTGCTTGTGTTATGAGAAAGAGTATTGCAGCGTGCATTTACCATTAGCATCCTCCCTCTTTTGCTGCATTTACCGGTCATTAAACTCGACTTGTTTATTTTGGTTTTGCAGGCTGAAGAAGCTGTGGGGGCTGCTGGAAGGTATCAGCTCCATGGTAGAACAGTTCCAGAAGCTCCTCCAAACCATGGTGCCTGGTTCGCTTAAGAGAGCCATGTCCAGGAGGTGAGGTGCTGGGGGGATGCAAACCCTCAGTGGAGGGAGGGCAGGGCACAGAGCCGGGAAATCCCCGGGGGCCTCATCCATGGTTTACTGATGCTGAGAGTGGCTAAAAATTCCAAATTCAAGACACCCACATTAAAAGTAGCTAATTTTTGTCCCCGTGATATTATTTATTCAGTGACATCTGAAAGAAGCTATGAACTAGCTTAGTGCTGCTATCCTATAGCAACATATTCTTGGTCCATTTATCTGCTGGGCTCTGCTCTAGCAGGCATCAGGCACATTCACCAAGATCCTGAGAGGTGTCTTGGCACTAAACTCTCAAGGATTCAAGGCATTTAATTTGTCACACAGACAGCTTTTAAGCCATACCTCCCCAAAATCTGCTTGCAAGTTACTTCATGTGCAGCTGACGAAGAGACTTGCACAGAATGATTTCATACTGAAGGCAACTACACAATTCCTCTGCTATGAAAAAGCTCTTCAGCATCAAACGCCCCTGGGGCTACTTGTCCCTGTCATTGACCTGGACTCAACTAACTGCCAGCCTGTTCCCTCAAGTAACCGTCCTGGATAGGCCCTGGGGTCTCTGACACCACACGGTTCTGCTGCCCTGGGAAGTGGTGGGGGACACCGGACCTCATTTCACACAGCAGCACAGCTGCTGTTTTTTTACAGAGATTTTTGGGGGTGGGCTTTTTTCACCTGGGAAAACCAGCTGATTTTGTTTCCAGTGCTGCCACTGCAGTCTCTGTGCCCAGGCCTGACCGGCTTTACCGTGATGGCTGAGGAAAAGCACTGCAGTGCTGCATCTGCAACCAAACCGCGACCTGTACAGGGGAGGCTGGGCATCTTTACTTGCATGCATGTAGAGCCCACCCTTAGTTTCTCTAGCCACTTCACTTGCTGAACATCAGCAGCATTCCCCCCAGCCCTCTTTAATGCAGATTACAGGGCAGGCATCTGCCAGGAAATGTCATGTGTTAAGTGTTTTCCTCCCACTCAAAAACTTTCAGAGATTCATCAAACAGAAAACAGAGAGAGGGAGAAGCCTTAGGGAGCATCACACTGGGCAGGAACTAATTTCTGTCCAGTTCCCTGAAGTTATTTTACCAATTACCTATTCCTGAGCTTCATATGCCCTCGGAGGCCCGATTCTCCTGCCAGTGGAGGTAGGCACACATGTGGATCCCTCTGGATTTGCATCTGTGGAGAAGGATGGAGAAACCTAAAGATTAACCTCCCTCTACTTCAAAGTACCACAGTCTTCTAGACTGCAATTCCTATTGCACTGGGAGAGATGACATTTCACAAATACATTAGTTCTTTTCATGCAATTTTCTGTAACTTGCTGCTACAAACCAATGCACAAACAAGTCCAAGCGAACACACCTCATGTTGCTGGTCTGCACCTAGAATGAATTGGCAGCACTCGTGACCATCCCAAATACATTTTGCACACCAGAGACCGATGGATTAGCTTTATCCCAGCTGAATCTCCCCAGTTTGTTGGTTCCCTATGGGCAAATAGATCACAACAGTACAAGCTGTTTATTTGAATACACAGCTTGTTTAACACACATGGGGAAATGGTACAGAGGGAAGTTTCATCCAAAGCGCCCTGGAGACTGCAGGCATGAATGTGAGGAATAGCTGAAGGCTGCATTAATGTAAACAGATTCAAAGTTAACTATTAATGCTCAGTGAAAGATTAATATAATATGTTCTGCTATCTCTGGTTGAAATCAATGACCTGGGAATATTTTCTCTGCAATGAGCTTGCTAAAAGAAACCTGGATGCTTATTTGCATTGGATCCATCAAAACCTACTCCTGTCTTCCTTCCATCCTGGATGGATTTATATCTCTCAGTCCCTGCAGCCAAAGCTGGGCTGCTCAAAGCCAGTTCATGAACTGTGACTATGTTCCTGCCACAGATCAAAGTGGAGAGGGCACAGAGACACCCACTGCTCCCTGGGCAGGAGCAGGGCCAGTCAGCCCATCATTTGCTTTCGCTCATGCTGCACTTCTGCTTTCCCTCCCAAACAGACAGCCCTGCTTCTGCAACAGCCCTTCCACCAGGCTCCTGGTCTTCCTAGCAAGCACCATCACCTCCAGGCAGGATATAACCATTTCAGTCAGCCTCAGGCAGTTACACTACCCTTATTCAACGGGGAATTAAAATCCCCCAAAGAAAGTTCTTGTATAGGAATTGGACATCCAAATTCACTACATTTGTCTTCAAATCTCACCCACAAACAGGAGCATAGTTTGAACTATCCAGTGCATCCCACCTGCCTCTACATGGCATGGTGCTTGATCATAAAAAGTTAGTAAAACTTTGAGGACTTTAACAAAAAACAGCTTACAGGGAACACCTGAAACAAAAAAGCCACAGCATCGAGCCCTCCTGTTCCAAACCAGCAGAGATGTGCTAAACTAAAAGTATTGAGTGACCCACCATTCAAATCAGCTGTCTCTTGCTTTATTAATCCCCCATCTTTTCAAGCAAGCACACTTGGTGCTGTCTCCTCTGCATGAGCTTGGACCTAATGGCAAAAGGAAGCTTTGCCAGAGGCACTGGCTAGAGACAAAGTTTGGCATCTCTCTGAATCACCTTGTGCAGGAGCTTGTTTCACCCCTAGAGAAGCAAGCTGGGAAACCCAGCTGCACCTGGTTCAAACCAGCTGTGCTAGATCCCGTCTCCAGCCTGAAATGCCTCCTTTAAAGGTGGGTCATGGGAATCAGTTGTGGCCCTGCCTGTGCTGGTTGCAAGTTGCTCTTTCTCTCTTTAAAACAAGGCAGCAGCAGGGTCAAAAATGCTCTTCTGTGGCTGGCATGGCCCTAAAGGGAGTAAAACCATATCGGTCAATCTGACAGATGCTTCTGGCAGTTCTTGTGAGACAAACTGGATTCAAATACTGGATCAGGGCTGCTTCCCTCTCTCCTGTTGTTTAGAGGGTAATAGGATAAGTAGGTTTTGATATCCTTAAATCCTTTGATGTTGCCCTCATATCACTGTCCTGTTACTTGCCCTGGTCTGCACTGAACTCAGCAGAGATGCGAAGCCTGAGGTGGATGAGCTGAGGGTTTGGAGACAACCCATGTCAGCAGGAGCTCTCTCTAAAGCTAGATCCCACTAGTGGGAACAGGAGTCCTGCGGCCTGAGCCATGCGACCGAGACAAACAAAAACAAAGGTGTCCAATCCTGCCGGTGTCTCTGGCTGTTGGCTGCAGGTGCTCGATGCCAGACTCTGCTTCTAGTCTAGATACTACAGAGGGTGCAACTCCTTGTGCAACTGTCCCAGTGGGCACATGGATAGAGGCAAACCCTTGTGGTTAACCTGCTAATCCCAGCCCTAGCCTTGCTGGAGTGCAGGCTCTACCACAGCTGTAGTCTTTTGGAGATATTCTGACTTATTCAGGAAAACAGGTGTGAGTTGTTCACAGGTTTATACCCTTGCTTATTTGGTAACATCAACAATATTATAGTACTGTGCAGATAAACAGTAAAATAGCCTTTTCCTGTCCTAGATTATCAGGGCTTTTCCCTTCCCAAACTGAAAAATCTGATGTGCTTCTCTGGAGACTGAGAGCCCTGCCCTGACTTATCTCTTGGTTTCTGTCTAGCCTAACAAATGGGTCTTGATTCCTTCCACAGGTGACTTTAGGTTGATGAAAAATGTTGCAGCCCAGCTGCAAACCAGAGACAGAGACTCCTGATAGCCTAAAGGCTGCCCAGCCTCCAAAAAAACCCGGTTCCTACTATGCTGCTTTCAGAAGCCCCATGTAGTTCACACTGAGGAAGCCTTTAAAAGCATGGAAGCAAAATGTACAGCCTAACACTGTGTCCTTCATTCCTACAGTGGGTCTCTTCCCATAAGTAGAGTTGTCTTGTTTTCAATGGTAATGTCTTCTTTGCTTTCATTTTATATTTTTCGGGCTTTTATTTTTAGATCTGAAATGGTAATGGTCCTGTTCTTTTCCTTTTATATTACTCATTTGGTGTGGTCCTCCCAGATAGAGCAGAACAATATTTGGGTCTTTTTTCACTTTTTATTTATGTGGCAACATTTTAAATCATCATCATATTGGAAAAGCTGTGTAATTTTTCCTAAACTGACAAATCCTGAAGTGTTGAAAGACTCAGAAAGAAAATAAGTAATAAAATTGAAAGAAATGTTGCACTCCAGCACATACTACTTTGTATTCTGCTAGTAGCAATATGACAAACTGGAATCTCAAATGCTGAGGGCTCACCAGTTTTCCATGACAAAACTGAAATGGGAGAGGGCGTTATTTTGCATAGGATTGCAGGAAACTAGAAGTTCTGGATTTAAACCTGCCTTATGTTGCTTGAAAATGATTCAGGTAAAGGTTTACCTGCAGCTCTACTAAGCTTTTCCTGCACTTAAGTATTTACACATGGCTGCACACCAGAGTTACCAAGCAGAAATTTTGATTTGACTGGCACAGCAAACCCAGCTCTAACCAGTGAGACACTGCTCCTTCCCCCACCCTTAGTGCAGTGATGTGTGGGGAGAACCTGTTACTACCTTGCAAGGTAAATGGCTTTCTTCATAGAGCTCCTTCTCCAAAGAGCCCTTCTGACCCAGTCACAGCCTAAGCCCTCACTCCTTACCCAAAATAAGTCCAATATGAGGCTTCACTAATAACCACTGACCTAAGAGGGGACTCTCCCATTGCTGATGTTCTCTTACTGGAGTCTGCAAAAACCCAGACAGCCTCTTTTGGCAGTAAGAGCCCTGGGCAACTGTCACTCAGCTAATGAAAACTGATGAGGTAAAGCAAGTGCTGGTCCTCTACCTCTCTGACAGTGGAGAAGATGGTGTGGGGCTTCATCTGCTGCCCTGATGGTCCCTTGATTCTCTTCAGTGACCTCAGTGTCTGTGGCTCTGGAGCAAAGTAGTCTTGTTTCTGGCTTCCAGTACACGGTCTCTTCATCTTTATGATGTGATACGTTGGCCAATGAAAGCATAAAGTCCTCATCAAGGTAATTTATACCAAAATCACCTGGTAAGAAAAAAAATCCAGCTCTCACTCTTGTTGCTCAACTACCAGGTCTCTAGCAATGTGACGCGTGACCAGGGTTGACTGATGACCATGCTGCATGGCTAATCTGAGTTGGGTTTCTGGGTCAGGGATCACCAAATGCTGCTGCCTTGTGCATCAGTGGGTTATCAGTCTAATGCCACGCAGGGCACTTGAGCCTACACTTCTCCTGTCTAGGTCCTGGGGACCTGCTTTCCCTGGAAAGCTCTACTATGCCCAGTGTGGCAGAGAAGAGGGGACCTAACATCATCAGAGGGGAAAGGGTGAGCAGGGAGCTTCAGGAGAGGCCACAGAGAGGATGGGACTGGAATAATCCTGGCAATGCCAGGGGTGCAGGGATCTCTCTGACCCGGTCGCTCTAGTTGTACTGGCAGCATCTCTTACCTTCTGTCAGCAAACCAACATTGCAAGAGAAGCACCCGACCTACCTGCTCCTCAGTCCCAATCACTTACTCAGTTTTTTTAAGAAGGAGACTGTGTCCTGGTAGCCATGGGTATAAAACTGCTCCAGAACCTGCAGGGAGGAGGTGGCAGTCAGGGCAGATGGGCCAGCTATAGAGACCTCATGGCTCTGGGTACCTGTAATAGCAGCTCACTTGATCTGAGGGACGCTGAAAAACATACTGGAGGCGGCAGATGTTTCTCTTTGATATCTGTAAAATACAATCAGAGACTTGGAAATTGAAGAAGGCAGCTGGGCAATCTTTGGGACAGATGTCGTATTCGCCGGCAAAAGCAGACACAGTGATCATGGTCCGGGACACAAAGCTGGCTTTCCACATGGCAAGTTCCCCATCAATGTAACGCTAGGAGAGAAAATTAAGAATCGTGAGTCTTGCTCTTTTCAGAGAGAAGAGTGCTGTGTTACATGTGCATGCATTTGAGGTTTCTTCCCTACCCAATCCCAAACTAAACTGAGGTACTGGGGCTACAGAGATCCCCTTCCAGGGAACAGCCCTGACTGCTGTCCCATGTGTTTGAGGTCTACACCCACCACCCCCTCCCTTCCAGCCAAAAAATCTTTAATGAAATTGGAGGAAAGCACAGCAGAAAGGAGTTGAGCTAACCCCACGGATAGGCTGAGGGTGGATGCTTTTGTGAGAAGGGCAGTTCCGTCTGCAGTGAGATCAGATTGTGGGACACTGGGTTCAGTTCTTCCCTCTGCAGACACTGTGTGACCACAGCACCAAGCAACTTTGGTGGCAAACACTGGTATACACATGCTTAATGCCACCACTGGAGGAATGACACAGGCTAGATGGACCCTTGGTCTGACCTGGGCTAGGCTCTCCAGACCATAAGGCTACTTACCACCCCATGGTATACAGGAGGTAAAACTCCAAAACACACAGGGATGAAGCAGCTGCATGTTATGGCCTGTGGGTGAGATGGAAAGCACAAAGGTGAGCAAAGAGCCACAAAAACACATTGCCTTTGGGAATGGAGGCTCATCTGTAAATGCCAAAATGGGGACCCACGGCTGGGTTACTGGGCACCACTGACTATTGTGGATCAGACCATGTCTGATATGCACAGCCAGGTTTGGATAAATAGGAAGGTAACCTGTGAAATGCCTCATTTTTCTCCCTCCAAACTCAGGCCCTGTAGATAATTCAGCCAGGAATCAAAAGCACTGATTTTTTCCTTATTTTCAGCTTGTGACCCTGTCTGGCTTCAGAGGGTAGCAAGGACAGAAATCATGGCGTGGACTGCTGTGAGGCCCCAGGCTCCCCCGTGCGTGCTGCGGGGCAGGGACAGGCACTAGATCCCGTCCCCTCGCAGAGTGACTGTGGCTGCTCTCACCTGAATGACGTCCTCCCTCGAGGCAAACTCTGAAACCACCACACATCTCCAGTCACGCAAACGGGTGAGGATAACATGCAGCTTTCCAGATACCAGCTGGTGGGCATTCGTAGGCAGATGTTTGTTTAAGACCTCCTTTAAGATTTTAAGGACTTTTGCTCCAGGAAATAACCACCAGAAAGAGGTTTTCAAAGCATTTATGAAGGACATCTTTATCTCTCCTAAAGCAAAGCAAAGCAATCATTCCACATCTCTTGTATTATTATTTATGTACTTTCTGGGATGCACTTCCAGCTGGGAAAGGGGCATTTTACCATGCTGGCAAAAGCTCATAAAGAGCCATTATTTTCATTAGGGCTAACGCTCTTTATGAGTGGACCCAGATTTTCCAAGACCTCCAATACTGCAGGAAGTAGAAGTATTCTGTTCTCTTTTTTCATTTCTCTCCATTTCCTCCACAAGACATCTTAAAATTTTTTTGAGATATGGGAGAAAATTTACAGGAAGCCTTTGCATAATATTTCCTCCTGTTGGCTCCGCATCTATGGCCCCTAATGTGTTTCTCAGCTCTGTAACTACAACTTCCTTTTTATTTCATGCTACAGCAATCCTGATCCTCTTCATATTGAATATTTTCTTTTCCCTCTGTGTTTTGAGAATCTACCAACAACCCCAAATGCCTTATTAGGGAGGGAACTTCTGTTTCTTATATTAGATATGCATACCATTACTTCAAATTAGTAAGATGCAACAACTTATTTAATAACTGTATCTAGCCTATTTTCTCCATGCTGGTTAATTTACCCATGTTTTCCACTCTTAAAGAAGAAAACGAAGTGTAATTCTGAGGAATTAGACACTGATTAAGGATAATAAAAAAAAAAAAAAAGAAAAAAATCTTTTGCAACTTCAAAATTCCCGGACATTCAATCTCTTCAGACACCAAATAAATAGAAATGCATAGCCCTTACCTATATCACACTCACACAATGCAGCTGTAGCTATAATCGATCCTGAAGATGCTCCATAGATCCTGGATGCAGATTTCAGTATGTCAGGCGACAATTCCTGCAAAGCTTTTAACACTCCACCTTCATATGCTAGCAAGTAACTGCAGCCTCTAAACAGTATAGAGAAAGGTCTTCCCTCATTTTCATTTATCTTCATCACCTCTGCTAACACCAAGCACTCAGTCCACAAGAAAGAAGCTGCCCAGGACAGGCTTGGAGGTTACTTCTTCTTGTAGCTGTTCTCAACCTGCTTCTGTTTCTGACCACACTCTTGCTGTCTTATATCTCTAAGCCAAACGTCCAGTGAAACAACAGCAGTGGGCAAAAGTGGATGATGTGACATCTTAATACCTAAGGCCACTCATTAAAATAAAAGTACTACCTTGCAATATGTTTCTAAGGTGTGCACGTTGCTGCTGGGTAAAAGCCCCAGGCGACACAGAGGGCCACATGTCACACTGATATGCTGGGGAATCAGCTCAGGGGAAGTCAGCCCTGCAGAGAAAAAAAAGCTGCTTTCCCAAGCTGGTAGACTGCTTGAGTGGTGTCCTGGGGTCCTAGCCTAAGTTTTCAGCCTCTTGGGAGGTAGGAATCAGCAAATATTCCCTGATATACAAGAGTCTTGCAAGATGCCGCTCAAAACCACCTTGCCCCATTTGTAACAGGTTACTAAACCCCACCCCAGGGAGTGGAGAAGTTGGAGGTGGTGATTGGATTGTTAAAGAAATCACAACCCAAGTTGTTCTAGTTTCACAATTTCAGGGTTTAAGTTTGCTTACAAAAGGGTAAAAATACAGAGTCCAGGTAACAACTCGTGACTTAATCTGCCTCCTAAATGGCTGAGGTTTCAGTAGATCAATGGGTCAATAAAGTAAAGAAGGGGAAAAAAGTCTGACAGTGATCTAGTGATTATCCACCCAGAAATGCAAAGCCTTCTTAGACTTGCAGCTAGGCAGGACATTGGGAAACTCCTACAGGGAAAATCATTGCTGAAAGCTGGGCAAAAGCAGCAGCAGCTGTCCAACACAAGCAAAACCAAGACAAAGTTGGACATGTTTCTCTAAGATACATGTCAATCTACCCAATGTCTTCAGGTTAAAAGTCTTCCAAAACCACTCAGGAGATGCTTGTCTTCCTCTTGCTGTGTGTTGAGGCAGCGCTGGGTGAGTTTTGTGGCTGGATGCAGCCCTGGTCTATGCAAGGGGGCTGCAAAGCAACACTGGTGATCACGTCGCAGCTGTGCTGGACATGCTGGGGCTGACAAGGCTGTGGTCTCCACTAAACCCCAAACTCTTGTTGTCTGAGCACCACTGGCACAGTGTTAATCCAGCCACAATTCCACATGGGAGCAGCCCATGCCCCAACCAGGACCCAACCCACTAAGCTCCTTGCACACACCTGCACAAGCACTGCAGATCCCTTGGCCAAACTGCAAAGGGAAAAGAGCAAAGACAAACTGAAGACTTGAGAAGAGAGGAATAAATATACTCCATGCGTAGTCAAGAGAACAAATGCACTGGAAATAATTTTCCATCTACTCTTTAGCGTAAGGAACCCCTAAGAATTAACTGCAATGTGAAGAGTCAATTCCAGAAGTTGTTCAGTGGTATTTTACTGGGTGCAAGAGGGATGTGGCATTTGAAACCCAGTGGTGAGCCACGTGAAGAAGCTCCCGAGATTAAGGAAAACTTTGACACCCAACTCCAGGACAAGGGGAAAAAAAAAATAGAGCCAGCCTTGCAGAAGCAACACCACTTCTACTGCCTCAAGCCTTGGGTTCCAGCCCTCCTCCCCTAAATCAGCAGCAGGGGCAGTGAGCTAGAAATGTGATCATTATTGCATTGCTTTCCAAACACAGCTGGACAAGTGTATTACTCAAATCGCAAACCAAGCCCACGGATCAGGCTGCACAGGCCATGTTTTACTTTCAATTGCATCTCTGTATTATTGAGAGAGTTTGTAAATCCATTTGTTTTAACTTCTTACTCAATCCTGCAGCGCTAAGAAGTAAATAATGTTTACAGCAGAAAAAGTCTCCACCTGCTTACTCCATCACTAGCAGGTACTGGTATCTCTCCCTGTTTTTCAAACCCTCGGACTGTCCCCGGTGTTTTTCAAAATGAGAGAAAAAAAATTGCAAACCTGTTTACACAGCCCTGGGTTGTCTTCGTGTTGGAGTGAGAAGTACCCAGACCTCAACAGTGGACCTTGTAATGTAGAAGAAATCCAGGTGATCTGAATAGCAGTGACCCAGATAGCATAAACAATAAATGAGAAATCCTGCTGGGCAAAGACAAAGGCTGTTTCTTGGCCCCTCTCTGCCCTGCACCAGGCTGGGACACAGATTGTGTGCATCCCTGCATGACGCCCTGAGTTTCCAGTCTGTTGTTTTACCAGGCCAAACACCCCCATGCTCTCTGGCATGTGTCATGTCTCCATCACTGGGTCAGAAACAGCTCCTAGCAGCGGGATCCTGCTCATTTGCTTCTCGTTTCTTCATCCCAGATTTGGGAACAAAGTCAAGCTTTGCCTTGAGCAAACTGACCATCCAGGCTAGCCCAGTCTGAAGCAGCACTTCAGGTAGCCAAATGAAACAAAGGAATCCATGTGCATTCACAAAATGACTGACCATACAGGGCAATACCCAAAAGAGGATTTTCCTCCTGTGGTGTTAAAATGAAACAGGAGCTGATCCAGCAGCCTTGTCAGCACACAGCAGGGAACAGGCTGACAGATGCCAAGAGGTTATCTTGACTCCCCAAGGTGGTATATTTTAGTGTTGAGCTGATGCCAGACCAAAACGTTTCTTTCACAGATCTTCTGCAATGGCAAAACTCTGACCTCAGGGCTGCACTGTTCTGGGAATCCAGTGGTGTTCCTAACCCACATATGGTTTCTGATGTGCAAGTCATTTCAAGAGAAAGACTTTGAGGAATTAATTTCTGTGGGACAATGAATCACCTCATCGCTTTGAATCAGACGTGCAGTTTGTCAGACTCAAGCACTAGCACACACCTCAACAAATACATTAAATGTGCAGCGGATGAGCTGGTACTGCTGTGCCTTGCAGGATTCAACTAGCTGTGAGCTGTAGGTTGCAGAACACTGGATGTCCAGAAATATCATCTCCTGCAACTGAAAAAAAAAGGAGAAGCCATGTCCTGAATATTTTTTCATAGACTCATCAAACGGTTTGAGTTGGAAAGGACCTTAAAGATCACCTAGTTCCAACCCCCCTGCCCTGGGCAGGGACCCCTTCCCCCAGCCCAGGGTGCTCCCAGCCCCATCCAACCTGGCCTTGAACCCTTCCAGGGAGGGGGCACCCACAGCTGCCCTGGGCACCCTGGGCCAGTGTCTCCCCACCTGAACAGTAAAGAATTTCTTCCCTTAGATCTAATCTAAATCTACCCTCTGACAGTTTAAAACTTTTACCCCTAGTCCCATCCCCACCCCCTGACCCAGAGTCCCCCCCCACCTTTCCTGTCCCCCCTTTAAGCCCTGGGAGGCCGCTCGAAGGGCTCCCCGGAGCCTTCTCTTCTCCAGGCTGAACCCCCCCAACTCTCTCAGCCCGGCCTCCCAGGGGAGCTGCTCCAGCCCCCCCAGCATCTTTGTGGCCTCTTCTGGCCCCGCTCGAGAAGCTCCATGTCCTTCTGCTGTTGGGGGCCCCCGAGCTGGCCCCAGCACTGCAGGGGGGTCTCCCCAGAGCGGAGCAGAGGGGGAGAATCCCCTCCCTCAACCTGCTGGTCACACTTTCACTCAGCCTTGTATAACAAATTCATTCCCCTTAGACAGCAGTGTCTGACTACTCTCAATGCATCACCCCACATGAGGAAGCTTTTAGCTACACAGGAGGTCCAGGGCAAGAAGCAGAGGTCAGGAGGGGTTGAGTTCACCCAAACTTTGTGCTGAGTCACCTCCCAAAATTTCCTAATCCAGCTATACTTGTAGCAGTGCCCAACACTGATCTAAAAGCCTCATGACAGTTGGAAGAACCCTCGTAGGGACAAACCTTGGGCAGGTCCAGGAAGAATTTTGAACCCCGAAGCTGATGATGCAAAAGGCACTTGAAAAAGTTACTGACTTCAAGATATTGAGTTGGAGAGGGCTTATGGCTTGTCAGAACAGCAGAACTACTGTGAGATTTTCCAGCAAGAGACTACTCCTTGCTGTTAGGAGTCCGTTTCTCTCGGGGTCAGCAGGGATTAGCTCAGGCTGTATCCTCTGTCACACATCCTGGAAAAGGGTGCAAGTTCAGGCTTTGGGTTCACCTTTACCTTGGCAAAACTGTCCCAACACCAATGGATCCCTCAGCCTTGCCTACAGCCTATGTCCGGCTTCCCACACACAGGCCTAGCCTCATTGTCTTGCTGCTTCTGTGAATAACCAGAAGCAACCTGTGATGCTGCAGGGTTCAAACCAGGGAAGCCAGGCATTCCCTAAAGCTACAGCAGAAGGAAAAAAGTAAAGGATTGGAGGGAGAAAGAAATCACTGCAGAAATGCAAGATAAGTTTTCTTTTGGGTTGAAATCATCTCATATAAGAGTCTAGTCTTAGCAAAAATCAGTTTATGTTTCTCTCCACCTTCATGGAAGCTGAACATTTGTTTGGCTATGCAGGTCTGATCTGTCTGTAAAGTGATTAATCAAGGAGTTTCCTTGGCACCTCCCCAGTTTAGTGCACTGAGACAGGAGTGTGAATAAAGGAGTGGCTCTGGCAATAGTCTGAACTTGCCCATGGCAGGGGATATGCTGTCTCTCCAGCTTGGCAGTGCATGCCATGCTCACCCTGTACACCTTGCCTACTCCCTAGCCAGGTCAAGTGTTATATCACAAATCA